AACTCTTTACACTTTCACTAGAATCATTTGGATCATTTCAATCCTGAAACTGCCAATCTTTACCTCTCTAACTTGTAAACTAGCACTAAATGACATCACAAGGTGGAGCAAAGCGTTTTGAGCTTTGGAGATGTAAACAGCCTAATGATACAGGAGGTAAAAGCATTATAGGGTTAGGGTTATGGCTTCAATTTTACAAGAGTCCATTATGTGTATAAGACCTTTAAGAAGGAGCATTGGAGACAGAGAGATAGATAATGCTTAAAAGAATGCTTTGCTGTGTGTCCAGTAGACAAATATTAGCAAAGGTTGACTAAAGGACAGTAAGAATGTTGGCTCGATTAGTGTTAGCTCTCCCTAATTGTTAATTGGAATGAAATCATTCTAAAAGTTGCATTTCTTCACCAAGCAGAGAAAGAACTAGAATATTTTCATGATGTGATTTGTAGTCTGAATGTGTTGCATCTTTGTCCTTGATTTAATGGAGATTTTCAAAGTTGGAATGACTGCACAAATTCTGCCTGCTGAATAAAACCAATGGAAAGGCCTGAATGTTTCATCTCAGTAGTAGTAGCAGACCCCAGCTGGAGCTGAATGAAGGCACAGTCTGCTTTGACGTTTATGAGTGTTGGTTTTGAAACATGCCAGTCCAGTTGATTTAATACAGCGTGCTACACTGCATTGAGCCTTCCAGATTATATAAAAATGACAAGTGTATATGTGTACACTCATCATTGATTTGCCTCTTTGTTACCAAAACTGTTGCATATAAGACACATTCCCAGATTTACGGTACTGGGCTACAGTAATAACTACACTTAAAGTAGAATTAATAAAGCACATAGACTTTATAATGAACAGTTAATTAAGAATGATTCAGGCTTAGTAACTACTTAATTAATATCCTAACCCTTACTCCTGACCCTATCCCCTAATGAAACAGTTACTAAGCCTGAATCATTCTTAATAAACTGTTCATTTTGAATTAAGTCTTAGTTCATGCTTCAGTTATTGCAAAGTTGCACCCATTGTACTGCTGGACAAGAGCTACAGATGGGAGCAGCATAGCGGTTTTCCTCTTATAATGACTGTATGGGGGTGGATGGGGGCGGGTCAAATGCAGAAAACAGACTTCCCTATGAGGATGATAAATACCAATTTACCAATAACAAATGTAATTTTGAAGAACAAAACACTTGAAAATGGTTTTCAGTCTCAAGATTTCAGCAGACAAAATGGTTAAAGTTAAAGGTGAATTAGATTCTGTCTGTTCCCACGTCTAATGAGTTCAGCTGAGGTAAACGTCTGCATAGTTCTTTGACTTTTTGTCTCTGAGAGTTTGTGTATTGAAACAGTTGCAGGCTCCTCAGACACATTTGTGATCAGTGCTTATTCTCTCTCAGGTCAAGATGCCACGCTTCATCTGACGTTAGATGTTTCAAGCTCTGTGGATGCCTTTGTTGGACTAACTACCATTAGAACTGACTGAGGAGAGTCAGAAGGTCTGTCTATAAATTGCTATCGGCTCCTTCTTTTATCACAGACAGTCTCTCCCAGGAACATGGACGTGTAGGAGTCCATTGGCTTTGTGGTTAGATTTTCAACAGTTCCTAATTACTTCTCTACAAATGGGATGACAGTATTTAGTGGTTAGAGCCCTCGTCAACCAGCCTGAAGGTTGGAGGCATGTTCTGTATTTGTGTCCTTAGGCAGGACACTTCATCCATCTTGCCTAGTGAGAATGTGTGATTGGCGATGGTTGGAGGGGTTGTTGATGCAGAATGGCAGCCTTGCTTCCATCAGTCTACCCCAGGGCAGCTGTGGCTGTAAAAGTAGTTTACCATCATTGAGCGAGTATAGGCGTATGGTGGCGCTCCTGAATGTGTGACCTTGCAGTCTCTACAGAATTGCTCCTCAGAGATAAATAAAGTTTTCTAAAGCTAAACCTAAACTATCCTATAGTACAAACTGATGCCAAACATGCCTGAAATGTTGCAGAAGAGCAGAGCAAACATTAATCTGTTCCAGACTTACTAGAGTTAATTATCATCCTTGATCTTAAGACATTGCATTTAGATTGTCTTGAAACTGAAATCTTTGTAAACACTTTTTCTGTTGAATCATTGATCTGCTAACTAGTAATCATCCAGTTCCACCCAAGTTGTTGTTATTTTAGGAAATACTTGGAATACAATGTTTTTTTGTTTTGTTTTTTTTACATAAAAGCACTTCATCTGCTTTTGCGTGTTTCACTTTTACGAGACCCCTCCCTCTCCGCTCCTCCTGTCCTGACTTCAACCCTCCTTAAGTTGTATTTATTATTAGTCCGCAAAGCCACGCTGATGAGACGGTCGATATTTTGTGGGGCTGATGTGGGAGAAGCCGGGCGCTCTCTCCTCTGTGCCCGTTCCTCTGTCCCCTGGCACAGGTAAAGACATCAAAGTGCTGTGGACACATGAAGCAACCAGAGGGGAGCAAGATGTCCTCCAAACACACCCTCCACTCACACAGTCCTATGTCCTTCCAATGTCCTGATTAAAAAGTTTGACCCAACATATTTTATCTCAGTTAGAAATTAGTGTTATCGCAGTCTCATATGCAGCGTGGGCACTTCTGAAACTGAAATTAAAAATCTTTACTGTTGGGAATAGTAAAGGTGCCCCTCTCTGGAAAACTTCAAACGCTGTTATCAGTTTGTAGAGATCAATTTAGCAAAGTTCATTACCCTCACAACTCAAAATAGATCCGAAATTAGATTAATTTTCATTTCAAGTTGAGGGCCTTTTTGAAGAAGAAACAGGCATGTAGTCAAAGGTGAGGAGAGTTTTAGTAATATTTCACACTACAGTGTCTAATAGAGCCATTAGTCATTAGAGGACGGAGAAGCCATCAAATAAATCTTGTGCTCGCTCGTGCTTTTAGACTTGGCTAAAACAGTACAACTATAAAAGGCTCTGTTTAAGAATGAAGCTGTTAAGTCCACCACACACAGCTCTGACCACATGGAAGGAGCTCCAGCAGACCCCTCAAGCATCTATGCCTCAGACTGGGCTTTTTGTTGATATTTTTCACACTTGGAATCAATAGCACTCATATTGTGTTGCCCTTTTAGTTTGCAATTGTATCTCAGTAATTTGGGGCGGTTGTATTGAAAGTCCACTACTTTGTTTTCATGGACAAATTATTGCTTTGTCTGAAATGTTTCATAGTGTTTTTATTACTCAAAAAGTCTTGAAAAATTACCATGGTAAAATTACATTCTTATTATGAGAGGGTCACTTCTCCACAGATCTGATTTGTAACTTGGTCTGGTATTGCTTCCATGCAGATACTCGGTATGATAAATGCCATACTGTGAAACTTTGCAGAAGTAATAACATATTCTTGGAGACAAACATGTGGTGAACTCTCCACCAGAAAAGTTATGTAGTGCACCTTTAAATTACAAACTACTATGATTTGCCTTAGTTTGAAATGACTTAAAATGAGAAAGTAAAATGAGGTTTTGTAAACAGTACATCTTGTGCTTATAATAGAATAATAGTTTTTCTAAACTACATCTCATATTTTAGCCATAGTAGTCTGTTCTTATATTATAATCTTATGTTCTTGATTTCCCAGGAGAAATAACATAATTGAGAGGTTACACAGCCCATAAAATTGACAGTGCATATACAGAACCTATGGCCACACTAGTTTCACTCCTTCACGTGACTAGATATCTTGTTTCTTTGACGATCCCGAAGTCTTTGTGATTTCACGTCTCCTCCTCGCTGCGTACCCTTTCCACTCAATTGGATATGCTTGACTTTTCATGCTTTAGCCTGTACTCAGTATGCACCACCATGAACCCAACTGTCCACCAAACCAATTTCATTTACCCACAAATTGAAAAGGCTCTGCTCATCTGCTGTATTTAAAAATGCATGGCCGTGGTTTTTGATGTGCGGCATGCATTTTCTGTGTGTTCCGTGTGTTGATCCATGGCTGCAGCAGATGGGAATAGCTGCCTCGCGATAACACCACCTCCAGGAACGTCCGGATTGCTTTTCTCTGTCTGCATAGTGGCTCTCCGATGGCTGTGTTACATTATAAATCATTTACACAGTCATTTTGGAATGCAATATCCTGCTCTAAATGCCGATGTTTCTGTGCTATTGTTATTGGAGAGAATGCTGCAGCAGGGATGCCCTAAACCTCAGAAATTGAAAATTGATCAGGCAGAGAGTGGGGAGGTTTGTCGGTGCAACTGTGGGCTTCACCCGGGGAGTGTTTTTTGCATTTACATAGTGCTATCTCTTGAGTCCTCCCCTGCCCCAACCCTCTGGTCAATCTGAAATGTGACCCCATGTAAGAGCCAGGACTGGGGGCTGGAATTTCAATGCCTATATGAGTACAATACCAAAGGGAGCTGTCAACAAAAATGCTACTATAAGCCGTGTTATGGTACATGACTCTGGGACTCAATTTGAGCTGTGCCTTTTCTGCAGATAATGCCACTGTTAACTCTCAATGTTAATAACCATCCCTAAAGATGATCTGCCTAAAACAGCTAAGGGTCCTATTAGCACTCTAGGCGCAACTTGACAACATTTAATTGCTGCATCAAAGTCATGGCATCATCTTGATTATAATTATCATAATAATAGATAATATCAGTAAGAGTTCTGTCATGTTTAGTGTTGGAGCTGTTTTATGTCCTGACAGATGAGTCGATAAAAGTGATGGTGGGTTTTCAGTGCAGTGTCATTCATTTCCTGTTTTTTTCTGCTTGCAGCACGGGATAGAAGAGCTGACAAGTGAGAGAGGACAGTGACTAAGGACCTCACGGGAGCCCAGACACGCAGTAGTGACTTTTGCCTGTTCTGCGCTGCCGGCCTGCAGTATCACAGCTGATGACTGTCCCAGAGCTCTCTGCACTGGAAGGCTGAGCAGTGTTTCTGCCGGGGCTGTGGGCCCTGTATGCTGGTCGCTCACAGTTGATGTCGCTCACAGGGACCATGTGGTTTTCTTCAAAGAGAAGTTATTGTTACTCTAAGAACTGGCATGGTGCCCACGTGTGCACCAACTTCAGCTCTTCCTTGTGGATACTATGTTTTTGTTGGTGCTTCATGGCAATAAAAAGCCAGAACTACCACCCCACTGTGAACACACAGTATGGTAAGCTGCGAGGGGTCAGGGTACCCCTACCCAGTGAGATCCTGGGGCCAGTGGACCAGTATTTAGGGGTTCCCTATGCTGCTCCCCCTGTTGGAGAGAAACGTTTCCTGCCCCCAGAACCCCCCTCCTCATGGTCAGGCATCAAGAACGCTACCCACTTTGCCCCTGTTTGCCCCCAGAACATCCACAATGCAGTGCCAGAGATTATGATGCCAATATGGTTCACCTTCAACCTGGATATAGTGACCACGTTCATACAGGACCAGCACGAGGATTGTCTTTACCTCAACATCTATGTTCCCACAGAAGATGGTGAGTGTATTGGGTAAACCACAACACACTTCTCTTTTGCTGTCCCTCTATCTTTTTTCAAAAGTTTCTCAATTTTGCGCATGACCTGTTGTCTGGCGCATGCCGTGTCTGTGTCCATCTCCTCCATCTTGACTGGACGAATCATTTAGTCTTTTCATCAACTCTCCCCTTTCATGCCACTGTTAGAGGTTCCTCTTTTGATGACCAAATAATCTATATTTTAAATAACAAAAATGATTTAAATCCTAAAAGAAAGAGATTGGAAGTTCTCGGTGCACCTCCCACCCCTCACTGTCTTGACTGTCCTGGGGAATCAGACGCCTGCTCCATAAGTGAATGACCTTTAGGGTTGGTGAAATGTTCTCTGGTACAGAGGAGGCCCGTGGCATCAGCCGTTACTATGTAAGACCCTTTACACTCCTGTTCTCGTCCTTGCACAAAACCAAAGGGCTCACATTGATTGGTCTGCAGCAGCTAAAAAGTCTGGAAAGTTTTAGATTTATTACTGTTGATACTTTTAAGCAGCTCCCATTATTACACCACTTAAAGGAGACCCACACAGCAAAATGGCTTTAAAATGTTAAGTGCCCCAAAATGGACAATGTCAAATAACACTTTGGGTTATCCGATTAGAAAGTTAAATGTCTCTTTGCAGAGGTCTGTGTGGCTGTATTGGGTCTTAAATAGAAGTGCATGTGAATATGGGCTTCCTTCGTCCCAGGTTGCAGCAAATTCATTCCACCATTTTGGAATATTTCTGCAGTTACACCCCAGTTACTTTCTCAACAGGTCCTTTTGTTGTTCTTGTCATTACTGACTGGGTATTAGGGGTGGAGGGGAGATGGGTTTTACAAAAATGATTGGAATCGGTTGTTGCATGTTACCTGCTATCTTTTCCAGAGCTCGCTGTTATTTTGTAGTTTTCCCATTCATTTTACAGTCAAAAGAATATCCAAGGAATGTGCCAGGAAACCCAACAAGAAAATGTGTAGAAAAGGAGGTATGTAAAACAAATCCATACATGCAACGAAAAAGGAGGATTTTGAGTGAAAGCCCAGAGCAAGTGGGATCAGTGCATCCTTCCAAAGCCGGCAATGTCACCAGCTATCAAGTCCCAGATCAGAGTGTTAATTGGGATGAGCGTGGGACCTGTGAGTCATGTGTGAGTGAGTGCTAGTGCTGTGTGCATATGTGCTTAATGGAGGGAGGTTGTAGTCATTGTGTGTAGGCCTGTCACGATAAATACTAAATCCACTTCAATACATAGCAGATAGAACAATGTTTCTGGGGGGGTTAATATTTATCGTGGGAACATTTTTTTTTTTCTAGTGGGAAAATTTGGGTCAATTTTCTGTACTACAACCAGATTTGGCTCATTATAGATAACTAAGATAAGTTAAAGGTGCACTATGTAACTTTTCAGCTGGTGGTTCCACAGTATGACATTTAAGAACTCTACCTTACATTTATTCAATTACAGATGGTTTTATAGCTCAAAAATTCCTTGAAAAACAAACATTCTGACTGTGAGCGGGGTTGCCTCTCCACAGATCTGGCCTGTAATATGGTCTTGAAGATAGAAAGGTTTAATACCATACTATGAAACATTCCAGACAACGCAATAACATCACCATGGTGAAAAGCTTTTGACAGAGTCTATAACTGAGAAGTTATGCAATGCACCTTTAAATGTTTAACCATTCTGTTTATTATTATTTATGGCAGCTCCTGTTCTTCAAAACACATGCACATTTAGAATATGTTTTGGGGGGGATAATTTTGCTTCATGGTTTGATTTCAGTATTATCAATAATCGTCTATATTTACTACAACAAAATATCAATATCTGACTTTAAAAAATTATCATGACAGGCCTAGTCATGTGAAAGAGTGTGAAGAAAAAAAAAACAAAAAAACATTTCATGTCAAGACAATGATTGCAATTTTTATTTTATATTTTATTTTCATGGCTAAAATGTCCCATAAGAATTATAAGGATGTAATATAGCAACATTTGGTCAGTTTATGGAACTAAATCTGAAACTAATGTTCGTGTGTCATGTCCTGGCTGCACAAACAAAACATTTTTCACATGTTTTTTTTAGGCCCGTCACGATAATTACTATGTATTTGTAATATTGGGAACATTTTTGTTATTTTTGTTGTAATAAGATTTGAGCTGTAGAGGGTTGAATAAGTAACTTTTATGATGATAAAAATAATAAAGTCTATTTTTAATGAGATTTCTCCTGCTTTGTGTCAGTAACATAAAGAAGATTCAATATAACCATTTACACTGATATTATATTTGTAGCAATATAATGATTTACTGATACTTCAAAATGTGTTATCGTGACAGGCCTATCATTTGTAACATGTAGTAAATTCCTGAAAGTATTTACCTTACACTTACTGTCTTGATTTCTATTATGTAAGAAAATACATAAAATAAGCATTGTAATATAAAAATAGGGTGCTGTATTTTGAACATCACCAAAACATGACCAAATGTTGTTTTAAATGAGATTAGTGCCTTAACTCAAGTTTCTTAACTATATGCTACTTTTTAAAATGTCTGCTTTATTTTTAAACAAAATGTGAGACCTTTCTGTAAAAAAAAAAAGACTGGATGATTAAGTCAGAAGCAGAATATCCAAAAAGTCAAATTTGCATATGACTTAAGTTTGAATTCACTCTTCAACAGCTTTTATTAGATGTATTTGTTAAACTTGACACCTGGGCTCATCTCATCTTTTGCTGTTAATTAAATTTACACACAACTTTGAGCTACCTTTCTATTATATTCATTATTCAGGCTTGTTCAAATAGAAACCATTTATCCAGCAAAAACCCATAACTGCCCAAACCCGTTTGATCAGCCCATGCTAAATCTTACAGTCAGTAATAACAGAGAGAGTCTTCTGAAGCCAGCCTGAAGGCTCGTAATAGTTTTCTATGAGTGATCCTGGGCATAGCCGTGTACAGTAAAGCTCCGGTTTGAGCTGGGAGAGCGCTGGAGTTGATTTCCACTGAGGCTGAAGCAGATGTTAGCTTTACTATTCGCTCACATTTAAAACTCATTTTTAGAGACGGACTGACCCTCCAGGCGTTTCTGCTTCTGAATTAGTCCCGGTTGTGGAATATAGCCAGAAAAACCTCTTTAATATTTCCCCTTCCATTTAAAAATTTCAATTATCTTCGTCATGTTTGATAATGAGAAAAGGGCTTATCCAAACCTTATGCTGTTTTGTGATACATGACGAAGAACATAGGTTCTGACTGTGTTGCCTTCTGTTTCTACAAACTTAATTCACAGGGAACACTTTCACAATCATATACTGCTCCTGCTAATCCTGGTTTATGTTGAATTAGCAGTGCAAATGGAGCATCATTTAATCATCTCGCCCAATAAGTTGCACCTCAGCAGTGCACTCTGCTTACTAAATAGGTTAAAAAACTTAATCTGTTCATCAATTCTATCTTCTCTAGATTTAAATCCATGTTTCCAACTATTCAAAAGTCATGTTTCACAAAACATTCAAAACATGTTCTGTGTGTAATATTCTTTGCTTTTATTAAACCAAAGATTGTAATTTGAGTCATGTACAAGGCATCTTCAAAAATTCACTTTCACACAGCAGCAGTGCAGGATAAAGAGACTGACTATTATGAACAAAGCTCTGTTTGACTCCTGATTAAATGGTGTGATTGTTGCCAAGCAACAGGATGCAGTTGTAACATCAGAGGTAAATGACCCTCTTACCTTGCACAAAGAACGTTTGTTGGTGATGCCTATCAAGATAGAAGAAAACAAAACTCACCCACCTCATTAAATGCAAGACATGTGATGAAAGAATAGAGGGTATATTCAAGATGAGTTTAAGCATCGTACATAAAGGCCTACAGGACATGACCACCGACTTGACTTGAAACAGTGGGTGTGTTTTTAACCCATGGTACCTGGATTTCATACCGTGAAAGGGAAAAAATAGGTATTTTATGTGGCCCTAACTTGTTCGTAGCTCTCACAAACCCTTTGAAATCCTATTCACATGTATGAATTTTTGGGCTGGGGCACAGCTTTAGAACAGCATTTTCAGGAGTGATGAATTGACCACCCCCCAGCACAGTCAGCCAGCTCTCACACAGCACTATGGGCTCAACACAGGGGCGACAAATGACAGAGACCAGCGTCCCTCATCGCAACAATTTAAAAACCCAACACACGCAGAGTGATGAACTACAGTGACCAGCAGCAGCTACACAGATCATGCTCTGGTCCAGGGAAATTGCGAGTTTTCTACAGATTTGATTGGCTGTGAAATTTAAGGGAATTATGGAATGAAAGCTCTAAGTATGAAGCCACTAGACCTGTAAGGTTTTTGTATGAATAATTGACTAATTATAGTGTGTTTTTCTGTGTGTGTGTGTGTGTGTGTGTGTGTGTGTGTGTGTGTGTGTGTGTGTGTGTGTGTGTGTGTGTGCGCGCGTGCGTGTGTGTATATATAAAATGTGTTTCTCACCTTCCACGGTGGTAGGTCTCTCTCACCCTCATTGAGCTCGGGTCCTCTACCAGAGGCCTGGGAGCTTGAGAGTTCTGCGCAGTATCTTTGCTGTTCCCAGTACTGCACTTTTCTGGACTGAGTTGTCCGTTGTTTTTCCCGGTATCTGTTGTAGCCAGATACCAGTATGGGGGTTACAGCCCCAAGTGCTTCGATCACCACAGGCACCACTGATGCCTTTATTTTATATATATATATATATATATATATATATATATATATATATATATATATATATATATATATATATATATATATATAGCTCCCAGGCCTCTGGTAGAGGACCCGAGCTCAATGAGGGTGAGAGAGACCTACCACCGTGGAAGGTGAGAAACACATTTTTATATATATATATATATATATATATATATATATATATATATATATATATATATATATACCATGATTATTATGTTATATATTATGTTGACTCTGTTTTGTGTCAAAAATCTGTGCTGATTTTGATTTTGGCAGTTCTCATGTCAATTCAGAAACTCTCTGATTGGCTGTAGTGTTGGCAATAGCAAGAAAAGTTGAAAATGTTCACAGACCCACATCAGCACAGAGAGAGACAATTTTCACATTGTCGCACAGGTCCCACTGAAAATGAACAGAGAAGCAGCAGCGATGCCACTCCCCATGTGTGGAGCCCATTATACAGCGACACATTCAGGCCACATGATTCTTTCATCCGTGTTGATGATAGAAATGTTTACAATTACAGCCAGACAGTGAGAAAGCAGTCTTATTTACTCTATGGGTAAAACGTTTAACTCATTTAAAAGATAGCATGCTTGTGGAAAAGGCAGCATCCTATTATAGAAATGAGTAAACGTTGAAACCAGAAACATTTGGACATTAACTCAATTGGTGCCCCAACAGTCTTACATTTAAAATTGATTAAGCTGCGGTGATCAATCGATGCTAAAGACTGAATTATGACTTTTGCATGCTCTGTTAGGGTGGATGGATCCCACTGAATGTACATTTTATAGACATCATTAAAGAGCGGACCACCTTTTCTAGGCTCAAACACCAGACTGTGAGGGCTTTGACCATTGCTGTAAAGGTCATGTGCATATGGACCTTGTGCCAGATCAGCATGTCTTTGAACTGGCCCCTACAGTCTCTGTGTGGAGGCACTTGGAGTGTGTGTAAGCTCCTCTGGATCTCATTGGTCTGAATAGAGACAATAGTGTGTTGGAACACATAGGACGCTCAAGGAGGTTTGAAAGAACAGCTCAAAATTTATCTTGAGATTTTTACCTTGTTAAATCCATAGACCAAATTTAAAACTTAGTTATGAGAGGCTCGATCAGGCCGAATCCAGTTTTATAAGATTTAGAAATATATAAACTTTAGAAATCAAAGACAGGAAAAAGCTGAAAGAAACAAGATAGAAGACAGTGAAAACATTTATTTATAAAGAGCTAATGGAATAGTAGTAAAAATCTGGGTAAATTAATTTTATATGTAATACTTAAAAATTTGATTAAGAGCACCCCAGGTGAAGTCTTTGCCAATAGCAGGAGGCCAGGAGCCATTCCAAAGCCTTAACATAATGTAGTGCCAGTAAACTGTGGCCAGACCTGTAGATTAAGCACCATCAGTGACACTGGCATTGTTCCTCACACCAGATGACCTCATATTCTATGGAGCTGCGAAAAATGTGAAAAAGCCCAAATCCCGGTTAGACTTTGTCTGGGCCACAGCAGACAGTAACACACCATGGTAATCCCGTTGGTTGGCCGACTCAGCACTGCCACAAGAGGGGAGGGGCTGCTCCCTGAGAGCAAATCTGTACTCCCCACATCTCTGCAGGCTCTGAAACTTTCCAAAAGGACTAGAACAATCCCTGCCTTGTGTGGTGCGACATATACACTGTTTAATGTGAGGGGTATTCTGTGATGTTTTTTAACATCTATCTATCATCTGCAGGCTGTAGTCATGCCTAAGATGGGGTCATGCACTGATTCAAATGCTGGACATGGCCAAAGCAGGAAGTTTCTATTCAAAGGGCTCCTGCTGCTGTGCTGTCCAGCCTCCACAGTGGGCCCAGGCTCAGGGTCTGTGTTGTGTTCTTTGTGTGTGCTCCACTGAGTGTGAGGGCTCTGCCTCTGCATCTAAAAGTGAGACAAATGAGCACCAGGGCACGTGTTTATGGACACACAGTCTCTGTGGTTATAAACTATTTACTTTGCTATAGTTTTAAATTCTCCACAGGTTGCCTGACCAACTCTTTTTTCTATTCTGTAATAAAGACGCTCATCTGGATTAAAATTGTGCAATTATTCAAATTTGTATCAAATCAAATGCAGATTGCATTTATTGACTTGAAAAAATTGGCATGAATTCTAACCTGGTTAAATAAAAGTCAAATAAATTAAGAATATCGCTCAACCTTCTGCTGTCCCAAACATGGTGGAGCATTTAGTTCTTTTTCTTTGGCGTTCTTTCATATTGAACTCTAAAATGCTTTTTTTTTCTTCGCACTTCTGCCTTTCTCTGTGAGGACAGCAGCCAAAGTCAGTTGTTAAAAAAACTTGCAGAAAAAAAGGATTTTTACAGCTGTTATATTGGCAACAAAACAGAGAAATTAGTCTTCTGTGTCTTTTTTCTTCTTTTTGAATTAAAGCACACATATCAAAACCATATCTATCTTATTTTTAACATTTACAGACATGGCCTTATTTTGCAATGAATGCAAATGAGTAATGTAACAGCTGGGCTCACAGTTACAGTATCGCAGTACGCAGTTTGAAGCCCCTCCAGTCTACCAATTAGAAAAGAATATTCAGGAACGCTATGATATAAGAACAAGAGATGAAATAGTTAACGAGAACATTGATGGAGCAATTAAAACTGTAGGAACCATCTAATTCCAAGAGTAAGTTGTGATTTAGCGCATAATAACACATGGCTTTGTAAGATAGTAGTCTTTTCTCTAACTGTCTATTCCTATTATCTCTCTCCAGAGCGCCTTGTCTGTTTCCCTTCCTCTTTTCAGTTGTATTTAGGGAGCAGCTGAAGCGCAGTGTGAATATTGGCTGTCCTTTACAGGCGGATTACAGCCTCCTTAACCTTTTAGCTGCATTCTCCATCATTCTCTCTTATGTGTCCCTCCCAAGCTGTTGCCTCACCTCCACTCACAGACAGACTGGTGATAGACAGGCGTGGAAAGGAGCGGGCAGCAGGACAGGTCTGTGCACCCTCCAAGTAAAATGGCCACCGGAGGATTGCAGACTGAATATATCTGCACCAATTGTCAAGGCTGCAACATTTCACATTTGACTAAGTCCCCCTCCGCTCCCTGACCTTTCTCATATTTAACTCGAAAGCCCATCTATTGTCAGTGAACCTCTTTTCTCGACCAGAGGAGAGGCTTCTAACATTCAGCTTTTCTACACTGTATTTGTGGAATCAGTCTCTGGGGTTTTGGAGTTCTTTTGGGTCTACAATACCAGGCTGAACCAGATGAACCAGGCTTCTGACAGTATTATTTTACCCCCAAATTTCATAAGACATCAAAAAGAAGAAAACATCAAGGAAAAATATTTAATGTGATTGAGAAAGTTACATTTTAGTAAAATTTTAATTGCAGATCTTTACTTCTTGTGTCATTTGTGTTTTGCAGTGTTTTAGAAAATTTTGCAGATTTTCTGTTGTACTGACACCTTGGCTTGACACCCTGCTGGATTAGTGTTACTTTATAATTGGTGCTTTTCAGATTGAAGAATGGGGTGATGTCATTCTCAAGCACCAATTTCCAATTTTTTATTATACTTATGTTACATTTTCATTAAAAAAAAATCAAAATGTAAAATCCATAAATGTGGATCTTAAATTAGTGACTGCTATATTAACAATTGTATTTTTTTTTAGACCTATACAATATTGTAGTGCCACCTGAAAACAAACAACCCTAAGTGAAATTCCTTTGTGTTGCACTTATGTGATGGCTATTAGCTATACAACTGAAATATTGTCTCAAACCAAGCATGATAAACTCTCCTCCCCTGAGCACTAAACCTGTATTTTCCCCTCATACCTTTGTAGAAGCAGTGCAGATTCTAGCTGCAGTAGTAGCGTGTAGTATATTCACATTGACTGGGGCCCACTTTGAATGGCTGAAGGTCATACATAGGCGTAGTGCTGAGTCACACTCCATGTCAGGCACCCATTATGGATGGTGCTTTGACACACAGAAGCTCACAGACAGCTCGATGTGGAGTGACAGAGCTTCCCTGTCCACACCTGCCAACCAATCTATGCTGTCTGAAGTACTATCACTCAATAACTGTTACCACATCAACGGACTCCAGAGCTCCCAAACCAGATCTGCTAATCAGGCTTAAGCAATGGGCAACAGGTACTCGCTTTGCTCTCTTATTTCTCCTTGAGTAAACTATTTAATTCTTCACTGTAATAAAAAAAAAAAAAAACATCACCATGTACTACACTTCCTGGCTTTATTGACAATTTTTTTTTTCTGAAAATAGACCATAGAGTGCATTCAGAAAACATTGGGACTAGAACAAAATATATAACTTATTTTACCTCTTTTAGGTCAGATTTACAGAGTTAAGTCTTGTATATTCATTTATATGGTTTGCATCAGTAATAACCTCAGAGTATTAAATAAATTATATTATCTTAGTATAGACACTGTTGAAAAATAGCATTAACCCCTCTGTCAAGCCTTTGCAGATTTATAATCTGGTGGTGGAACACAATTGAATCTGCATGCTATATTTGTAGTGAGTGTGGAGCCCCTGGAGGGTGAAATGTTCACACTCATATGAATCACAAGGACAACAGCTCTTTACCTGTTGTTGAGGGCAAAGACGCAGGCTAAAGTCTGTGCACACACCACTGAATAATATACATGATAGTACAAGTACTGCTGTGAATCATTCAGGCATTAGAGTTACCTCAAGGGCTGGGTCCAGGCTGGGTTTGCTCATATCCAAAATCAGATTTGAAATGTAATCTTGCTGAAAATGTATTCATTAGTTTTTAAAATTATAATCAGCAATATAACGTCTGAATTAACCTGACAAAAAGCCAGTCTGATGTAAGGTCTGGGCTAGCCGTTTAACACCCATACAATCTGCACTGCAACTTCTTTTCTGCCTTGTGTATGACTCAAATATCTTTTTGAAAAACACAAACTGTTGTATAAAGATGGTTTAAATTTTTACTATATTTAATGTCTAGGATATATATCTGTGCTTTTGATGTATTGTATTTCAGTATGTATCTGTATCTGCATTGAACTGCTTTCCCATTGTTATGTGGTTATTTTGAATTTCCCTGTTTTTTCTATGTCTCTTCTTGCTCCAACAATAGGGTCCCATTCAAAAAAACAGAACGGGGATTTGTCGGATAACGACGGTGATGAAGACGAAGGTATTTGTTGTGGTGAACAAAGATAATGCATGATTTCTCTAGATTTGTCATTACTGTTTAATTTTTGGTTAATTTTCAATCTTTCAAATTTATTGTTTATTCATTTTTGTTACATGATTTAGAAATTTGAAAAAGCTGAGACACTGTAAATAATGAATTACAATACAATGTTAATTTCAAACAAATCTTTTTTCTCAAACGAATTAACCAACATTTATAGTATATTTGCATTTATCAGTTTGAAATACTTTATTCCAATGCCTTATATATTGTTTACTGTGAATTTCATTCAGTTTCTACACAAAATTTACAGTGTACTAACTTTTTCAGACAAACTTTTCATCTAAACCTCTTGAGAAGAGTCTTGAAGAGTCACCAGAAGCATGCCACACTCCTGTTACAGATGTTTCTAAATTTAACCATGGAGCTTCTCAGTGATTGACTTTGGAGTTAGATTAAATCTTGTAGCTGTCTGGAGAGATTAAGCCATTTCATTATAGCCTGCGCTGACGGGAACAAGTGTTATTAGCAGGGCAGAGCTGGTGGCAGGAGCAGTCGTATCTCAAGGTGTGGCCGGCGGCACCATTTGCGATGCTAATGTCAGAGGAGAGTAGCGCAGTGTAATAGCACGCTGTTCTCCAGGTTTCTGCAGCACATTCAGATGAGGAGAGGCAGTTCACGAGTGCTGCTGGAGAGGATTATAGAAGAGGTGTAGAAAATGGGAAGTTGCCGCTCAGCAATCGCATTGTTCACTTTCCATATTTATCTTGGGATATTCCTGGCTCAGGGTGGATCTTTGCCTCAGATTAGAGACGAGAGACGATTCTCGTGCTGCAACAGAAACGGCTTAAGCCTCAGAATCAGAATCAGGAGCTGGGTGCAGCCCCTGCCCTTGTCTCCCCCCCGCCTGTGTATAGGGCAAGTGATGCAAGCTCCTTCTGAGATTGAACTGTTCACGTTTACTTAGGGGAATGTGATTTTAAAGGCTGCTTGAAGCCTATACATCATTCAGCAGGGCAAGAATTCAGATAAGTTATCCAGCAGTTTAGAGACAAAGTGCTCTTTCCCATTCATTCTTGATAAAAGACCAATAAAATGTTTTTATGTATGTGTTTACATAGTTTTAACAGTACCTATAGATTTCATAGATGTATGGTTTGTCGTGGATCATATATATCTCATACTATTGCTTAATGCAATTGTGATTTCTATATGTGCAATATTTTCTAACATGGTCATGAAATTTAAACCATTGTATCTCTTCTTCTCAGAGAATGACATCACCTGGGTAACTGCTGAATCCATAGAGTCAGGCATCACTCATCAAAAATAATACATATATTGGAATAAAATAGTAATTCTTCATAGTACAAGGTCTTCATACCTTGTTCTATAGTGTTTCCTTGACATCCAAAACCTTTACTTTCATTGGGCTCATTATTATGCTAATTATATGGAAGAGATACAGTTAGATTTTTCCAAATCAATTCCCAACATGGAATTGATTAGCTCTCTGTTGTCAGAACATGCTGCTTATTTTAATAATTGTAGTATCTCATTTGTGGTTTATGTTAATTCCTTCATGTGATTTGTATGGCTGTCTGCTAACTAACAAGTCTCATATGAAAATGTTCACAGGCTTACACTGGAATTTTCCTATATGTTGAACACATCTCAGTGGAGTTCGGAGTGTTGTAGTTTCCTTGGCAATTAACAGTGTATGTATATATATATATATATATATATATATATATATATATATATATATATATATATATATATATATACACCCATGAATAGTTTCTAGTAGTGTATATACCTTTACATCCACCTGCTCCTATGTTCCCGTGGCCGTGGCCCGTGGTGAATCTTCTTCCTGTTAGCCGGTGGGCCTCTCTCCATCAGCCCGCCCTTGATCACAGAACAGGAAGTGTTGCCATGGCTCCACTTTGACACACAGGTGTTTCCTCATTCAAGCCCAGGGCAAGCTGTTGAAATTCAAGCCAAACTCTGGCTCTCTGGGTGCCTCTCCTCTGTGCACCGTGCCTGTTTCCCTCCCTTCAAGCTAACCCACATGCGTCAGCCAGTGCAGCCTTAAGTCCGTTCAAAATCGCTGACAAGTGCCGATCCCATTGTCTGGCTCGTCTTCTCCAGTGTAGACAGTGGCTCGAGCTACAAGCTGCTGCCTGAGACAAGTCTTACTGAGAATGTGACAAGTCTTTTCTTTACCCAGCGAAACTAATGCTATTTACAGAGCATCACCGCACAAACACAATAGAGTCCCCACAGAACACTGCAGAAACACTGTGGCTAATGCGCCTGTGACGGAGTTGACTATCCACCAAACAACAGCATCCACAAGATTTTCATTTATCTGATGGCTCTGTTTTTGAGCTGTCATAACATCACAAAATGTAGCTTTAACCCTGAGATAAACAGTGAGGTTGCACTGCTTTCACTGTTAGGTTAAATACAAAATGGTAATGTATGTGCAGCAAGCCAGCCAGTATCCAGTGTAATATTGCTGCATCTATATGCAAATAATAACACATTGACTGGTGTGTACTTTGGCCAGCATGCACAGCCTACTGCTCCATAGTAATCTGGGGAAACAAGTACAGCAAGATGTAGTTATGCAAGTCCAGATATCAATAAATCTTCATTTTAGTACTCTGGAACATTGGGCTAATAAAATATGAATGAAAGTAATAGTGAAAGGCTAAGTCTATTTTCTGAATGCAACACAATAGAGAGGCTTATTGCACTGTGACATGTAGAAGGATCTGGCTGCAGCTGATGGGAGTCATGATGAGTGCAGCTCCACCAGCTCTACATCTGCTTTGGTTTAATCATTGATTATTAAGCCCTAACCCCAAATCTGGAGAGTAGCAAACTAATGCAAACAAAGACAGTTTGCATTAGAGAATAATTAATGATATAATTATCTATAAAATAATAATAAGAACACATTTCTTGCTTAGACCCTGGCAGTGAATGATGAGCAATGTGAGCAGCAGAGTAGGATGTACAATTATATTACCCCTAAACTGTTTCAGTTTTACCTTTGCTATAGCTTCATAACAGACTTCAAAACGATCTTAGTGGTCAGGTAGCAGCCCTACTGTCTCATTACTTAACACTAACATAAATTGCATGCATAAATATACTTGATGTTCTGTTCCCTGCACAAACCTCGAAGTCCTTGCCGGCTGTCTCATATTATACTGCTCTCATAAGTGGCTCTGCTATTATTGTGGGTAATGGCCGTCTCCTTGTCTACAGTAAATGTGCTGCATGCATTACTGATGAAAATCAAACATTAGTATTCAAATTAAAGGCCAGAACATCAGCAGAACTGTGTCTTCTCACTGTCTTGAATAGCAAAAAAACAGGAATATGGAATTTTAGATTCAATCCTGCAGTGATCACCAGTCACAGCCAATATTTAGAATTAGATATGCTTTTGACATACTGCTCAATTTTATTTAAGCAAGTATTAACTCCTAGTACTACTACACTGTTTTTCAAATGGGCAAAGCTTGTGCCCCTACTTGATATCCATGACACCTCTCTGCCACATATTCTTATGCAGCCCAGAGCACTACGTGTTGTGTGCATGTTCTAACCCCCTCTGTCTCTCAGTCTGTTCAGCCCAGCATTACCAGGCTGCTGTCTCTGCTGGCAGTCTGTCTGTCCTGCTTCTCCTCTCCACAGTCCCACCCCCTCCCACCTCCATATTTCATCGGCCCCCACCCCACTTTTATAACTGCACTCAGACATTCTCATTCAGACAAGGGACAACCAAATGTCAGTCTTGTCAACAAGTACAGAATAACTTATTGTGTGTAAGGCAATACATAGTAAGTGTTCTGACTTTTCCCTCAAAGCGTCTCCCTCCAATGGCAAATTTAAATACTTCTGACAAGTTTTACAAAAAACCCTCCTGACTGACTCAACCAAACTGTATGACACAATTTTTATATTTTAGCCTGTAGTCCTCAACTTAATTTTTTTTAATCTTTAAAGATGGTCATTTCAAGTTTATGGAATGCCAACTTATGGCTGCCACACACTACAGGAGAATTTGCCCAATTTTGGCTCTGAACTGCTTGTCCCCAGGTTCGAGGAGGCATGACCCCGCTTAGTGTCTTCATGTGTGATTTTGAAGCCACTGCACTCCTCATGTGGCAGTGTGACTCTGAGCTGCTCTGTCAGATCATAACCACCAAACATCAAGAGTGCTACGGGAACAGCCAATAAAACAGAGCATCAGAGGCAGATGGAGTGACGGACACAGAGGTGCAACATACAAACTCAGGAAATATTGAAAATAACTATTACTCACTTCTCCTAAAGTCGTAAATTTAACAGAACAGTGCTATTTAAAGGGTTGTAAAAAGTAGAAAGGCCAGAGTAGTTCTTGTGTCTGTTTACATCCACAAAGCACGTGGATCACAGTAAAGCTATAGATTAACAATCAAGACTCCTGTGTACTTTATCGCCAGCCTTGTGTGCATTAAAATCATGTATCTGAAGTATTGTAACATGTGTGCTTTGATCTTTTGAACACTTAAGAGTCTCAAAGCGACTGCGTTCACAACTTTACTCTGTTTTAGACAGCCATGTCCGGCAGCAGTCTTTGCGATCAGAGATTCGAAATTTCATAAGATTCTCTTCGTATCTCTGGTGTGCGCTTTTTGTCACATGTTTAAAAATTGTTTAAGACTGAAAAATAATATAGTGCATGGTGGCCTTTAATCACATAGGTGCGTATCAGGAGGCATTGTGCTAACACTGGCTGTAATGCTAAGGCAGTGTTCCTGTTATACTGAAAGCCATTCCCACTTCACAATGAGTGTCGGTAGCCCAATCCTCAGTGTAAAATATTTGTTGGTGAAATTCCAGCTATAATACCAGAGGCATTGACTCTATAAGTGCACACATTTATGCAACCACATCCGTCAAGTAAGTGAAGCAGGCAGACACATGCTCATTTGTAC